TGTTTATTTAAGCACAAAAAAGGTCAAGAAAAATGCTCACCCACACACCAAGCTCTTAACTGTGGTTACCTTAGAACATGAATAAGTAGGCTTCAATTTCTTTAATACACTTCTGTACTATTTGTCTTGGTTCAACAAATATATACTACCTTTGTGATTTGTAAATTTCCATAATAGTAAAGAATAAAGGAAAAAATTAGGAGAGAAGGCATCAAATGGCATTGGCACAAATATAGCAAGATAAACTATAAGAAATATTGCCAATTTATAAAGCACTTCTCTGTATATTCCCACAGGTATTAATGTCAGCACATTATAAAGATGCCCACATACCCATGTTTCTTCCAGAACAATTCACAATAGCTAAGCTATAGAGACAGCCTAGGTGCCCATCACTAGATGCATGGGGGAAATGTGGTATATACAATGGAATATTGTTCAGTCATAAAGAATGAAATGTCATTTTCAGGAAAATAGAAGGAAGTAGAGACCACCATTTTAAAACAAGCAAGGCTCCAAAAGTTAAATATTGCATGTTCTCTCTCATATGGGGAAACTAGAGAGGAAGAGAGAGAGAGAGAGAAAGAGAGCGAGAGAGAGAGAGATGGTATGAAAGTAGAAGAGAGGTTATTAGAGAAGAGGAAGAGGATGGGGAAGGGGAGAAACAAGAGAGAAAAAGGATGGAGGTACTGGTGGGATAATCAAAGGATATTATATGCATGTATGATATACCAGAATGAAACCCACTACTCTGTGTAACTAATATGTGCCAATAAATTTTTTAAATATTAAACTAAGGGAATGTGTTGACAGAAAATTTTAGTGTGAGGAGAAACTGGAAATTAAGTGTTGAAGAATTAATAAACTATTAAGCATCTCCAAGGCGAGACCAAGGTGACAGGAGGCTACCTACTGGCTGGAATCAACTAGCTACCTTTCTCCTGATACAAACTTTCTTCTAAGATTATTGACTCTTATGGTTTAGATATAAAGTGACCCCCCAAAAGTCTTGGTTTGAGGTGGGGCTTAGTCAGAATATGTTGGTGGCTGAGGGGCATGGCCTGGAAGGATATGTTCTTGTTCTTGTCCTCTAGCACCTCCTCTCTCTCCCTCCCTCCCTGCCTTGCTCCTTCCTTCCTAGCTTCCGTGAGTTGAACAGCTATCTTCCGCCATACCCTTCTACCATGCTATTTATGCCTTGCAACCTGCAGACCATAGACTGAATCCTCTGAAACATGAGCCCAAATCAACATCTCCTCCTTTAAGTTTCAGATTTCTGGCATTTTGTCCAAGTGATGAGAAAGTGACTAATACATTCACTGACTTCCTCTTTCCCTTTCAAATGTTTATTAGTATATTTTTGTGATGCATAATGAGTATATTGGTACATATGCATCTTGTATCTTGATCCTTTTCACTTCCTCTTCCCCTCCCCAGCCCTCCTGTCTCCCACACACCCCAGGTCCCCTTCCTATCGCCACAAACTCCCTGTTACCTATCATCTTTCTTTTAGTTTGCTCTTTAAATTATTTATACTTTGGGTTTCTCATATAAGAGACAGTGAAATGGAGCAAGAATTGACTGATACAGACACAGGGAATACAGACCTCCTTGATTCAGATGAAGAAGAAAACAGCAATATAAGTATATATTTGACCAGTCAAAATGTTGCAAAATGGCCCTACAGCCTAATGGAACAATCCAACATTAGAACTAGGCCTGAAAATACAGTGAGGGTTTTGGTAAGGGTAAAATATATTGGACAGAATGCCAGCATTGTCACTCAGTGTTGGAAATTGTAACAGACAAAATGCTACAAGATACTGTGAAATACACAAAGGCCAAATACAAGTAAAATGTTCTGTATGCACAAACAGCCATATTCAGAAATGTATTTATTATGACACCTCACTAGCTGAACTGAAAGCATTCCTAGGTCTGCTGTACTTAGTAGGGGTTTCTCGTGGTAACTGCAGGAATGTAAAAGACTTATGGAAAAGCAATAGATCAAAATATGGTATAACCTTTATTACTTGCTTGTAGATGCAAAAATTTATGAATTGCTTGTAGAAGCAAAGACTTATTATGCTTTCAATTTAGAAATTTATCCTGGAACTCAGCTATCAGATCCTTATTTATATATGAATAAACTGAATGATGTTGTGAACAGACTTGTTGCTCCCATCTCCCAAACTAATCAGAATGTGACATTCAACAATTGGTTTACTGTTTTCCAGTTGATGCTACATTTGCTAACAGAGCACAAGTTGACAAGCACAGGAACTGTATACAAAAACAAAAGCAGAAATTTCAAATGAAATGTTGCAATTTCAAAACAGAGAATGGTATAGTACAATCTTTGGATTACAGGAAGATTTACATTGGCCTCATCTCCAGCAAAGAAAAAGAAATGGGTACTGCTGATGTCAAGACTGTACTATGATGGAAATATTGATAAGGAAACCTTAACAAAACAGAAGCCTGAGATGAAAACTTTCTCCAACAAAACCAAAGGCAGACTAGATGTTGTGGATGAGTTATGCAGCAACTATGATGTCACTCAAAACACAAAGCATTAGTCAATGGTTAAGTTTTACTCAATCCTAAACATGAGTGGCATAGTTTAATAGCTTACAAAGAAAATAAAAAGTACAAAATATCACAGAGAAATTTTCTTAGGGGATTGGGACTGGAACTAACAAGAGATCATTTATAACAGAGGAAAAACAAAATGTTTCTGCCCAGGGAACTACACATTCACACAAAAATGTGGACCACATTGGTGATCTGACAGGTAAGCAGGTAAGAGCAGCATCCCAAAGACCTATGACAACAGGAACGCCAAAAATTCAACTCTGCCCTACAAGAAAGGACAGGAAAATAAAACATATGTGCTATCAATGTAAGTGATACTTGTGTATGGAACATGCAGTTTCCATATGTGAAGACTGCCTTGGCTGTGATGATTGACGCAAAGATTATTTCTGTAGTAGGCTTTTGTTTGTGTTTACATCGTAGCTCACATAGGTTTTTATTTCTGATGTTATCTCTTAGTTTTTGTAAACTAATACACAGCTGATGTGAAAATGTTGATGTCTATTCTAAGCATTCATCACATATTTGATATTTTACTGATATATTATTTTCCTGCTAAGTGCATTTTGTGCAAAATAGTAGGAAGCTCCTGATGAAACAGGAAGACAAGAGAGCTGAGAAGAATGGGCTGCCTCATAGAAAAGGAAAGCTAAACACATGTGCTGTCACTGTAAGCCAGACATGTGCATGGAACATGCAATTATTGTGTGTGAGGACTGCCTTGGGTGTGACAGCTGAAGCAAAGATTATTTCAGTGGTAGACTTTTATAGCTCGTATGGGTTTTTATTTCTGATGTTATCTCAGGTTTTGTAAGCAAGTATATAGCTGATGTGAAAATGATGTTTATTCCAAATGTACAGTACATATTAAGAAATTAATATTTTATTTTAGTAATATTTTATGTTCCTGTTAACTACACATAATATAATAAAAACCTCCTGACAAAACAGCAAGGGCAGCAAGATGTCAAGTATGCCCTACAAAAAGGCCAGAAAAGCAAAACATATGTACTGGCAGTGTAAGTGATACTTGTTATGGAATGTGCTGTTGTCTTGGGCAAAGACTGCCTTAGGTGTGATAGCTGAAGATTTTTTTTGTAGAGTGCCGTTGATATTTTCATTGTAGTTCATATAGGGATTTGTTTCTGTTCTTTTTTAGACTGTTAACATCAAAAAACCACTCAATGTTGAAGATTTTGATGCTTTTTTATAAACAGTAAATATTAAAAATACAATACTTTATTTTTGTAATATTTTTTCTGTTAAGCACTCATTGTTAATATAATAAAACTCATGAAGTTAGAATTAATAATTCATCAATAGAAATATTCTAAAGAATAAACGTGGATTTGACACATCCATGTTTATGGGCCTTTATGATAAAAAAAAAATATATATGTTATGCTCTTCAAGCTAATCCTTACAACAAACCCTTAGGAGGAAGAAAGTATAATCTCCATTTTACAGATGAAGCAACTGGAGCACAGAGAGATTGAGTGACTTCCCCAAAGTCACCCAGCTGGAAAGCTGCAGAGCCAACATTCTAAAGCAGATTCCAGAGTGGCAGGTTCCAACCACCACACCTCCAGCCTCTCTCTCTAAATGAGGTCATATCCATTAAAAGCTGTTTGGGGATTCGCTGAGATTAACGTATGTAAAAGCCATTACTTGTCAAGTATTTGATAGGTAGCAACTGTGGTTGTGTAGCAGAAAATGCGCTCCCACCCCCCGCCCCCAGCCAATATCCTTCAGTTTCTTAGTTGCCCAGGCAGTAGTTCCTGTTGCAGTTCTGGTTGCTCCTGTCTCTTAGAAATGGCTGGTCACTATAATGCACAATGTATAAACCAACCCCCAACTGACAAGCCATTCTGCCTCTACTTCCTCCTTGCTTATCCTATATAAGCCCTAGACCACCAGCCATCAGGGCCTGACATTCTGGGTATGATCCCAATCAGTGCCGGTCGGCGTAAATAAATCTGCCTCCAAATCCTGAGCTTCCTTTCGGTGTTTCTGCTTGCCACTGTAGTTGTTATAGGTTTGTCCATTCTGCACTGCAAAACCTTCCAGGCTTTTTCTTTGAGCAGAAATAGAGGTCAAGGGAAGAGGAAGAGAAAAGAGCCAGTGGCGGAAGAGGCTGGGGTGGAATGTGAAAAAAAAGAGAAACGGGGGGGGGGGTGGTTGCGGGGTGGGGGGAGAAGACAGGCAGAATGATTGCTGAATATTTAGGAAGCACGATAGACACCCGGATGAGCATGGCTAAAAATGGATGTGGGAGCTTTGCCAGTTGAGGTGCTAACGTAGGTACTTCAATCCGCAAGCCCTCGTCCACACCCCCAATCCCCAGGCACCTCTCGGGCGTGAACTTGCCTGGCCCTCCCGTGGGGCCGCCCCATGCTGGGCGGGGCCTGGCCCGCTGCCTCTGCCCCGGGCCGCCGGCAAGTCCGGGCCCGAGTCACTCGGTCTCTCCGGTCGAGCTGGCCGGCCTCGATGGCTACGTGGAGGCGGGACGGCCGGCTGACCGGCAGTCAGCGGCTGCTGTGCGCGGGGCTGGCGGGGGCACTCAGCCTCAGCCTCACCGCGCCCCTGGAGCTCGCCACCGTGCTGGCCCAGGTCGGCGTGGGGCGAGGCCACGCCCGGGGGCCGGGAGCCGCAGCGTTCGGGGTGTGGCGGACCGAGGGGCCCCGGGCCCTGTGGAAGGGGAACGCGCTGGCCTGCCTGCGCCTCTTCCCCTGCAGCGCCGTGCAGCTCGCCGCCTACCGCAAGTAAGAGCTGGGCAGCCCGCGGGACGGGGCTCTGTGGCTCACCGCCTCCTGTGGTGGGACAGCCCCCTTCTGGGTCACGGGGGGAGGATCTTCTCCAGCAGCTGGGCCGCGGGGCCACACCTGAGGCCCCCACAGCGCAGTCCCAACGTTTTTCCTGTGCTCTTGAGGTTCCTCTGCCCCGCAAGATGCAGTTTTGTGGCACGTGGCCCTGGGCCCTGAGAGGCTCTCCTGGCTGGGCGGGGTGAGGAGGTGAGAATGCAGTCAAAGGAGATTTGGGGGAAAGAATAAAGAGATCTCCAGAGAGATAACCCCTAATCACTCCCACCTTCCATCAACTTGTAAGGTTTTGCCTTGGCTGACTTAGGAAGAGAGAGACCCTCTTGAAGGTGTGTGTATGTGTCTGTGTGACCGGTACCCTAAGAAGAAAGTGCTTGGTGGCCAGACGCGTCCACGGCCTCAAAATGGCCACAGATTTTTGCCCATCCACTCTAACTGAAACTTAAATTTGGGGTTCTATAGAGGCTGCAGCTCCCCCTCCCGAGCTGTGAACAGTCCCCTCAGCCTTGTGCTTTACCTCACCGTAAACTGCCCACTGGCCTCATTCTTTGGGTTTTTCCCACCTTCTCTCACATCAGCAGCTGCTCTTCAGAAAAAGATCTCAAGATGCAAATACCAGACAAGGCTGAAAATTTCTTCAGGGCTCAGAGATACCTGCGCTGGAATTAGAAAGGAAGTGTAAAAGGAGAAATGGAAATGCTGACATTTCAGGAAGAGGAGCTGTTTCTCTAGGCAGCTCGCCCCTGTGTCCTTCATTTGATGGGCCCAGCACCAACCCCAAAGAGTGGCCTTGACCCTGAATTAGCCCACAGTCAGGAGAACTAGTCAATCTTTTTTTTCCATACTAGGGATGCATATCTCTTGCACAGGCTAGGCAAGGCTTTACAACTGAGCTACTTCCCCAGATGCAAGGGCTGTCCAGTTTTGCCCAGATAGTTCAACCTTGGTGGCCAACAGTCAAAGGATTTTGCCTTGATGCTGTGACTTGGAAAGTGAGATCTGCAAGTCTCTGTTACCTGGCAGCTTGACAAGCTGAATAAAATTACTCTATCAGACTCTTCTAGGCCAGCGCTCATTTCACTTCTGCCTGGGAGAATTCCTTTCTCTTTCTTTGGAGAGGGAATCGTGGGTAGGATCACATGACATTTCTGTCAAGGCTTTCTTCACTCCCCAGGCTGCCTTGCCCTTCCAACGCCTGGCCAGCAGTCTGAGTTTTAATGACTGAATTTCTTCCCAGGTCACCCTGTTCTCCACAAAATGGTAAGGAAGTCTTCCTTTGACAGGATAGATTATGTACCAAAGAGGGGTGGACAGAACTTTCAAAGTAGATTCGAGTGTCTTGGTTCTCTAGTGACCATCTAGGACACAGACATCATTAGATTCTTACAACTCTCGCCTTCTTCCCTGTAAGGTCCATAGGGTGGGAAGTATTGTTCCCCTTTCACAGATATGGAATTGGGCTCAGACTGGAACATCACTCATCAGTGACAGAGCTGGGCACTACCACCTGGCCCTCTGACTCCAAATCTCATGCTCTTTTATTACATCATGCCACCTTTCTCTCTGAGGTAGTTGATATCAATTTAGTTAGGGCACATGAAGTACCTGCCGTGTGCATGATGCTGGGGAGAGGGCAAAGACTAAAGAGGCAATGGTCCCTCTGCCCCTAGGAGTTACAGAGTAGTAGAAGAATAAGGCTAATGTGTCCATAACCATAATACAAGTAGCACATGGTTGCCGTGACTGAAGTGCTGTAGAAATGTACATTTCCAATAAGCGATGAGGTGTGAAGACTTCACAGTGGAAAAAAAATTGGAGTTTGGCCTTGAAAGAGTGAGTAGGAGTCTGCTGGGCAAAGAAGGGAAGAAAGGTACTGCAGGTAAGTCAGCAGATGTACCGAGGTGGGAAGGCATGCAGCATGACTGGAAATAGGCAGGAAAAACAGGTAGAATATCTTGAAGGGTCAGGTTAAGGAATGTAAACTTGGTATGTAAAGGTAGCTATGGGAGACAGTTTTTTTTCAACATGAGAGGCAGTGCTTTGATGAAAGCAGTTCAAATGGAAAGATTGCCACTTGGTGGTAGGAGAGGAGGAAGACTGGGAGGGGCAGGACCAGTTGAAACTTGTTGGTGCTAGTCCACATGGAGGCTGGAGGCGCCTGCAATAGGCTGGTAACAGTAGGTAAAGCATGAGAGAAGAACAGAGTTACATGGGCTAGGTATGCTGGTATTCTTCCTGTGGGGTTGTTTTATTTCTAAAAACTAAAAAGAAGTATTTCAGTGAAGGGCAAGGCAGTTAGAAAGCATAGTGGTTGATTAATCATGATGCTGTCGTTCCTACATACAGATGATAACCTTGGATTGTCATTATACTCTCTGATTCATTTCTACTCCTTCCTACCCATGAATTTGCAAAACAGGTAGTTGTGACACATGATGCATCTTCTAACATTGGGTTTATTTTTTCTTGTTTGTTTGTTTGTTTTGTCTTTTGGAGACAGGGTTTCCCTATTCACTTCAGGCTGACCTTGAGCTCACTTAGTAGCCCAGGCTGGTCTTGAACTCACAACGATTCTCTTGCATCAGCCTCTTGAGTGCTGGGATTACAGGCATGCACCATCATACCCGGCCTAACATTGGGTTTGAACAAAACACAAACATCCAGCATGTTCAGGGAAAAGAGTGGTTAAAAAATTTTTCTACAAACACAGTAGCAGAGCTGGAACTTGAAACCAAGTCTTCTGGTTCCTCAGTCCAAGGCTCTGCCCCCAATACAGCTGAAGTGTCTGCTTACTTGGATTCAAGATCAAAAAGAGTCCACTCAGTAGAGTCTATTGTGAGCAAGGTTCTTGTAAATAAATAATAGCTAACACAATTGGTGGCTTTTAAATAGATCAAATAGAAGAATCTCCCCCAAGTATTTTTCATGACTGTTTGTCTATCTGTGTAAACACAGGTTTGTGTCCCTGCAGCTCTGAAATTGTTCAGAGCAAACACCATTTCCTTACTACATAACCACTTCAGGAGCTAGTGCTTGGCTGCATTGGCTGCTAGCCTATTTTCGTTGAAGTGTTAGCAATTCTAATCGAATGTATCCAATGTGTGTGTAATATTAGTGCTGGCTGAAAGGAAGGGGTTACTCAGTTCATCAGCTTATCCAGTCTGGCTGGAAAAAAGCTTCTGCACATGTATGTATGTGCTGCGGGGGTGGGAGGAAGAGCAAAAAATCGAAAGGCCACTGTCCCAGCCAATCAGGAAAGAGTTTAAGATGTAGGAACCAGGATGATTTCATTGGTAGCCTATCAGGGTTGCCTACTTTTACTGTGATTCTAAGGGGAGATGGCTGCTCCTTGTCCCTATGTCAGAATGGTAGGAGTCTAAGAAGAAAGGACCTCCTTTGGCACTCCTTTTTAATTTTGTATCTGATAGCAAGACCCCACTTCATAAAACAAACTGATACAAGATAGAATTCCTCTTCCTAGTTCAACTCATTCAGTGCTCCCTGTAGTCGCCCCTATGGGTCATTTCTTGTCAGGACTGATCACTTTTATTGTGATCTAGTTCTAGTCACTTTTATTTTGAATCCTCACTGTCCCTCTCTGTATCCCTACTCTCTAGCAGAAAGTATTATTTTTCCTGGTTTCCAAGCCCTTTTGGATTTTGTCATTAGCAAGGAGTAAAATCCCTTTGCCTCCTGGCAGGGAAAGTGTGCTGTATAAAAATCTGCTTATAATATTTCAGCCAGGGTAGGCCCTCATGACTGGGGAAGGATTGTAACTGGGCAGTTTTATCTTCTGCATTTGGAAAAGTCCACCCAAAACCATTTTCAGAACGTTACACCACAGAGTAATACAGACACTCGTATACCCACCATCCATGTTTTACATTATTTTGAGTTGGAGGTCTCACTATGTTGCCCAAGCTGGTCTTGAACTTGTGGGTTCCAGCAATCCTTCCACCATAGCCTCCCAAGTAGCTAGGAGCACAGACACACACCAGTGTTCCTGGCAGCCATGCATTCTTTTTTAAATGTAGGAAGTAAAACATTACAGATAAAACTGAAGTCCTCCTCATTCTTATTCCTAGCCACATTCCCTCTCCCCTTTCCCAAGGATCTATTTTCACATACACGAGTGCATGCATGTGCACGCATGCACACGTGCGCATGCGCACGCGCACACACACACACTTGTTCTTGAATAATATATTGGTTTAGGGATGTTTCTAAATAAGTAGATGGTTATACTACAGATCAATCTACAGCTTGCTTTTTTATTCAACATTGTGTTTTTGTGATTTATCCTCATTGGCACATAGTTCTAAACTCATTCATTTTAACCATGTAGTATCCATTGAATGACAATGCCAGATTTTATTATTCCCCTACCCATGGGTATTTAGGTTGAATTTTTCATATTTACAGTGTTACACTATGTGTTTTTGTATGTTTGCCTGTAAGAGTTTCTCCAGGGATTGCACTTAAAAATGGAATTACAGTGATACATCTGTTGTTGAATTCAATTCGTTAAAAATTTGTGCTCAAACACCATAAAGTTTGAGAAGTGAACATCTTTTCCCATAAGAAATAATGGAAAGTCAAATAATTGGCTATGAGGCCCAAAAATTACACTTATAAATTCATTTTTCCAGGATTTAACAAATTTCACAATGATTTCTTTCTTTAATTTTATTGTGATTCTCAGTTTTCCTCTTAGCTTTACTGCCAGTATCACTAACTTTCTTTGGAGCCATGGTTACAATATTTTATGCAAATAAAGCACGAAAAGAAAGCACAGTGAGGAACGTTTAATGTACTCACTCAAGCACTATATGTTGTCTGGGCCAGAGCAGCGCTTAGACTGAGGGTCACCCTTTTGTGTATGCGGCGTGACACTGTGTGGCTCACTCTTGGCAGGTACAGGATTTTTCAAGTCGGATTTTCAGTTCCACTGTCTTGGTTACTTTTCTCTCATTGCTGGGACAAAATACCTGATGCCCAAAATTAAGGAAGGAAAGGTTTATTTCGCTTACAGTTTGTGGAGGTTTTAGTCCATACTTGGCGGGTTACAAGGCAGAGTGGCACATGGCAGAGGGCTACAGCTCATGGCGGCAGAACACAGCAAAAGCAGCAAGCACCAAAAGGGAGGAATGGCCCCAAGCAGCCTCTTCCTCTCCCTTACATATGCAAACTATCCCCCCCAGGGCGGGTGTAGCTCTCACAGCCATAATCAATCAAATTCTAAAAGCCTGCCCCATGACCGCATGAGGCTTTGGGGGGGACACCCAGACACAAACCATAACACATTATTAACTATGGAGTCAAGTTACGAACACCCAAGTGGATTTTTTCAAACTTTGCTGTTTGAGTAGTGGAAAGTTCAAGCTTGGAGCCATTGGACAACTGAGGCATCGCTGTATTGGGATAAAGGATAAGTGTTTCTCCAGTTTCACTAGATACTGCAAATGACCCTACAAATTCATATTTCTCCCAGACACAGGTGAGAGTTCCTTTCTCCACATATCCTCGCCATCACCTGATATTATCAGACTTTTTGATCTTTGCTAATCTGTTGGGTGAGAAATAATACTTGTTATTGTTTTTATCTGTCCTTTTTCTAAAAAAAAAACTAGTAAGACGGCATCATCTCTTACAATTATTGTTACAAGAAAAATTCCTCATATGAGCTAAATTTAAAGCTTATTTGAACAAAACAAACATGATTCACAAATCAGACAGCTCCAAGAAACAAGCAGGTTTGGAGAACTTCAACCAACATTGTGATTAGACAGCATTTATAGGAAAACAGAAGTGAAGCATAGAAAGTAACTTAATTGGCTACAGTCTAGTCAGCTGGCCAGTCAGCTGGTGACAGTTTAATAAGGAAATTGCTTATAGCCGTGTCAGTTAACCTGCTGCAAGGCCTTCTGCAATGAGCAAAAGGTCAGTTTCTGTGGTTCAACTATATTGGCTTGTTCTCTTGGGCTGGGTGTAGGTGCTCAATCTAAATCCAGGAGCTCCTACAAAATGTTAGTTAATATTATTAAACCATTGTATTTTTAAAACAATTTCTGGGATGCTCAAAGTCGTCATTTCAAGAAGTTCCAGTCCTTTTTAAGTTTGGACAGGACTGAAAGAGTGCACTCCAGTTTGATACTTGCCAAATACCTCTGTGCATTTTTACACCACAGGCAGGGTAGGCTTGACAGGTATGCAGATAAAAGGGGAAAATGTCTAAAATGGGAAGAATTCAGACTGGATGTAAATAAGAAGATTGGGTAACTTTTCCTTACAGTTAATTATCATTATATAAATATGGTATGTTTTAAGTGCATTGCTCATTAATAGAGCACCATAGTAATTTTCACTTTGTAAAGTACTTCTAGACGCTGGAAATAATTTGCAAAATTGGGTACAACACCATAGCACAGTCCATAGCTGATTGCCTTGGGCTTTCCCCCTGTTTTCTCTCAGGTTTGTTGCGCTGTTCACAGATGACCTGGGCCATATTTCCCAGTGGCACTCCATTGTGGCTGGGAGTCTCGCAGGCATGGTTTCCACCATTGTGACATATCCTACAGACCTCATCAAAACCCGGCTGATTGTGCAGAACATGCTCGAGCCATCTTACAGGGGGATCCTCCATGCTTTTTCTACCATTTGTCAACAGGAAGGGTTCCTGGCCCTTTATCGAGGGGTTTCCCTCACTGTTTTAGGTAAAGTAGAACTTTTCACCTTATCTAAGAAAAGCCTGTGTTCTTAGACATATATGAATGTACTATATACCTTTGTGATCCATTCAGTAGCCTTACCAAGGTCAGGGTTACATGGATTCAATCCACATAGCCACACAGTCACTCCATAGCCTCTTATATTTGGGCCACTCACGTCCCCGGGAAGGGGAAGACAGAGCAGAGGTGACTCCATACAAACTGTCAGGAAAGCAGTCCTCAGCACTGCTGCTAGGCTGGGCCGATCTTCCTGACTTAATTTGACTGTTTAATCACCCTCATTTCTCTGCCTTCTGTGACTCCTTCTGAGTTAAGTGGGAACCCATATTCCTTATGGCATTCCAGATCCTTTAGCCATGGTCCCTGCCAGTCCATCCTGCCTCTTCCTGTCCTGTGCTATGCTTCTACCTGCACTCCTGTCCCAGCCAGAAAAAAAGCTTGTGCTTCCTGGAAATACTACTTCCTTAGTACAAGCCATTCCTTCTGCCTGGACTGCGTTTCTACTCTCTTGGTATCTGATGAACTCTCTCCTCAAGACTCAGTTCAAATGATCTCTCTTCTGTCAAGTCCTCCCTGCTTCTCCTAAGAAAAGTTGATCCCTCTGATCTTTGTGGAACTAAAGTATCTTGACTACCTCCTGCTGATGGCATGTATTAGGAATAATATGCTCATTACTTTTCTCTGGCTGACTCCTGCGCTAAGCTCCTCTAGGCCTTAGCCTGCTCTTCTTTGTATTCCCAACATCTAACATAGGGCCCAGCACATAGCATAAGCTCCCCACAATGTTTTTTGAGTAAAGGTAAGTGGGAAGTTGGTGAGTCATTTTTAGTATGACCTTATCTAAAGATAAGCAGCCCCACTTGTGTTATCTCTTCTTTTAATTCTCAGTTTAAAAAATGTAGACCTTCTATCATCTGAAGATGGCTCCCTAGGTTTCAAGAAGTTAGTGAGAGTGCCACCTACTGCATGTCTGTCTTGCCCCCTTAACTATATTAGAAAGGTAAGGGTGTCCCCAGGTGGTCCTCCGGGCTGTGACATGACCATGTCAAAGGCAAGGTCAGATAGCCTCCCTGACCAGTTTTCACGAAATTCTTCCTTCTTAAGCAAGAGAGCAGTCTGTCCCAGCCCGCAAAACTTGATCAAGTGCTACCCACTAACTTCTCTTTTATGGAAGTGATTTGGGGGCTGGAAAAAACATACAGCCAATTTAAAAGAACTAGAAACACACAGAAAAGTTAAAAGAATTGGAAACACCCATGTACCCATCATTCAGATTCTGCAGTCTGAATTTTGGCGTTGTTACATATCTGTCCACCCCTCCGAGCCATCTTCAGTCCATCGTTTTATGCATGATTTCGGTGTAAGTTGCAAGCACTAGTGCACTTCACCCCCAAACCCATCAGCATGTGTTTCACTTACTCAGGTTCATTATTTGTGTATGGTTCTCTTTCATGTACAATGTATATACAGGGAAGTGCACAATCCTTTGATGAACCATTTGATACATTTTGGCAAATGACACAACCCTTGTCACACTACAAGCCTGTCATGCCCTGAGAAAGCGCCCTGTGTTTCTTAAGTTGGAGCCGTTTCATCAAGCCAGGCCCTTCCCATTTGCTGTGCCCCAGTTCCCCCCAGGCATTCGTGTTCTCCTGTTGTTTTGCCAGTAGTTTCCCAAAACAGCAGCTTCTGCCTGCCCTTGATTTGCAGGTGCTCTCCCCTTCTCTGCTGGCTCCCTGCTAGTTTACATGAACCTGGAGAAAATCTGGAATGGACCCCGAGACCGGTTCTCTCTCCTGCAGAACTTTGCCAACGTGTGCCTGGCTGCTGCGGTGACCCAGACCCTCTCGTTTCCCTTTGACACCGTGAAGAGGAAAATGCAGGTGAGGAGTGACAGTAGCTCGTGGGCGATGCCTAGAAGTGTCTGTGGGTGGGTAATGCCAGCAGAGAATGCCAACCCCGAGTGATGCCGGGTTTCCGAGGGCCCTGTGACTGTGCAAATACCATGAGAACCCCCACGCCGTGGCATTTCTGCTGGCTGCTAACCTCAGGACTGTTGGCTGGAACCCAAGCTGCCACCTCATCCCATACTCCATTCCTGGTCCTTTATGATGCTCCCAATGAGGACCCCTTCTCTGTCCTCTCTTCCTGGATACCTCGCTTATGGTTCTTCTTTCTCCAAGACCTGCCAGGAGGAGACTGTAGAATACAGCTTGCTAACTCAGTCTCGCCCTGCTGCTTCCACAGTGAAGCCAACTGGCTTGGATGAAAATAAGCTGGAAGTGTAGCCAACAGGGGTCCGAGAGTCCCTGACTCCAGTGTTGCTGAGGTAGTGACTGCATTTCAGACGTGTCAAATGGGTGATGTCTCAGTAGGATTGACCATGTATTGGCCCTGTTGTTACCTGGGGAGACCCCCATCTTCTCTACAATCCACAGAGGCAAGAGTCTGGTAGCAGTGGATCCAAATAAATAATTAGCTTAGCCTAGAATAAGCTGCTTTACTTTTCAGTACTAGGGATTGAACCTTCTAGGGCCTTTGCACTGAACTACAAAATATCCCAGTTCTTTTTTTTTGGACACAAGTTTTCACTAAGCTGCTTAGTTGCCCAGGCTGGGCTCAAACTTCCAATCCTTTGCCTCGGGCTCCCATAGGTGTGTGCCATCACACCCAGTTTAGAATAAACCAATTTTGATCAAAGAAAAAATCAGACTGGTTCAAATAAAGCGTGGGAGGGCTGCAGCCACATGTGTATAACAGCAGAGTCACAGTCCAAGCAGGACTGAGGCTCTGCATCTTTCCATAACCCCACTCACTGCCTTAGAATCTACTCCTCCTGGCTTGCCTGGCTCCATCACCTCTTCCAGGCAAATCCTGCTTTATGCAATCACATAGTCCTGAAGTGCTGTATTGAAATCAATTCGGGCCCAGTTGGATGTACTATAAATGATTAGTCCCGCTTACTTGTTTTGTGCAAGATTCTGACTTGTCCCTCTGCTTTCTCAGTGTCCTCCCTACTTGTGCTTCCCTTTCGTACTATTCTTGGCTGGACTGGGCCACTGCTTACCTCAGCACTGAAAAGCCTAGAGGAACTCATTTATCACACACACTATCCTTACACTCTAACCAGTTGTCACATTGTTGTAATGTGGCATAGGTGCAAATTTAGAACAACCTTTGCGTGTGCTCATTTATAAAGAACATTATTTCTGATTTTTAAAAGTAATGCATGTATACTTTTAAAACGGTTAGTTGTGCTGGGTGCACGCCTATAACACCAGCTAGTTAGGAGGCTGAGGTGGGGGGATTTCAACTTCCAGGCCAGCCTGGCAGCATTCCAGGCAATCTAGCAAGGTCCAGCATTAAGTAAAATTTAAAATAAAGTAGGCTGGGAATGTATCTCAATGGAACAGCACTTGTGCAGTATGCACAAAGCCCTGGGTTTAATCTACAGTACTGCAAAAAATAGAATGGTTAATTCTATGTTTGACTACGATAAAAAGTAATATACATAGGTGGTAGAAAATTTTGGAAACACATAAAAGTATAAAAACGGAAACAATTACCCATAAACTGAACACCCATAGATTATAATTATCTTTCTTTTACATGTGTTCATATGTGTATGTATATATAAACATATGTATGTATATATAAGGTTATTTATTTTTACAAAATTGTGTTCAGAATGAGTTTTTTTACTTATTATACAAAGGGTATTGCTCCAGGCCATTAAATTTTTAATTATCAAATAATATTCTACCGTATGGATGTACCAGAAATAGTTAATGATTTCTCATAGTTTGAGTATTGAGGCTATTTCTAATTCATCAGCATAATTGCATTGCAATGAAAACCCTTGAATTTTCTCACATCTATGATGATACCCATAGGCTATAGTTCTAGAAATTGACTTATAGGTCACAAGACATGAATAGTCCTAAGGCTCTTAAGGAATTTTGCACTCCAGAAATGTATAGTTTACATTTGCACCAGTACTACGGGGGACTGGTTCATCTAAACTCTCATCAACATTAATATTATTGACACTTTTTAAGTCATTCTGAACCGAATACCACCCAAAAAGTGGTATCACATTGTTCTAACTTGAACTTTATTTTGCATGTTTTTCATACGTATTAGTTGACCTTTTGTCTTTCTTCCTTTCCCTTTTTTTTTTTTTTTTTTGGTGTGGTGCTGGGTATGGAACTCAGGGCCTCATGCATGCTAGGCAAGTGCTCTGCTGCTGAGCTACACCCCCAATGCTCTCTATTTCTTTATAAATTTTCTACTTATGCCTTTTTGCCTGTTTTATAGAATATTCAGCTTTTTTCTATTTATTAGTAAGAAGTCTTTATATAAAAGATATCAGCCCTTTGTTGTACAACCATATATTGCACATAGTTTTCCCAGTTTGACACTTGGCTTCCAATGCTATTTATATGTTGTTACTAGTGTCTTGTTGTATATATTTTTAAAATCTTATGCGATTATATCTTACTGTGTTTTTGTTTCCTTATTTTTCTGCTTAAAAGGCCTACCTCATCCCACAGTCTAATGACTATTCATTCACTTAATGTCCTTTAAATATTTTAGTTATAATTTTTACACTTAACACTTTAATACATTTAGAATTTACCTGGTACATGAAAGGAAGCAATCATCTAGCTTTTTAAAAATGTAGTTTACCAATTATTTAAGCACCATTTTTAATAATATGTCCTTTTGTCACTACTTTGTGATATTACTTTCAACACATACTAAATATTTGTATAACCTTTTTTAGGGTCTCCACCTCTGGGCTGTACTTTCTGTTCTATCGTCTGTCAGTTTGTTATTGTGTCAGCACAACATATTTCAATGTTCATAGCTTTGTAATGACCTTTAATCCTCATTGCTTTTCTTTGAAACATTTTCTTGATTATTCTCAGCCATTTGTTCTTCCTGATGCACTTTAGAATGACTTGTGTTTATGATTAGAACTAAAGTAGAAACTTAGAATAATTTATGTAAGATATTCTTTTTTGGGTACTTTTTTTGAGATAGGGACCCCCTGTGTAGTTCAGGCCAGGCTCGAACCCACTATGTAGCCCAGGCTAACTTTGAACTCAAAGATAGTCTATCAGTTTTTTAGAATCTCTCATTTTGTTTCAGTCTTCTTTCTTTGGTTTTTAACCATAAGAAATTGCCAATATCTCATTTCTCAATGTATTCAAGTGGCAACTTAATATATTTCAACCCTTAAGGAAAAACAATGTTTCTTTATGTGATGTTAATGTTCTTTAAAAAAAAAAAAATAGGACCGGGCGTGGTGGTGCACTCCAGTAATCCCAGTACTCAGGAGGCTGAGGCAGGAGGATCATTGCAAGTTCGAGACCAGCCTAGGCTAGAAAGTGAGCTCCAGGCCAGCCTGAACTGCATAGTGAGACCCTGTCTCAAAAAGACAAAAAAAAATTAAAAATAAAAAAATAGGTGACTTTTTTGTAATGCTGGGGATGGAACCCAGGGCCTCACACTCTGCCACTGAGTGACTGTACCACTGAGCTACATCCCCCAGCCCCAACAGGTACCTTCTTTTAAAAACAAGCTAAGGAGAGATAGGGTGTAAGGGAGATATGATATACTATAAAATTTTGCTCATTTTTTAAAAATATCTTGGTCCTAAGAATCTCTCTCACTGCCAGGAGCATCTCTCTAGCACTTTCTGCCATCTCTTATAACGTAGTATTCTTTATGCATAGTTCCCCTTGTGGGGGATAGGTCTAGTCAGGACAAAGGGTTTCTGATGAAGTCCAGTGACATCTAAATGTGAGGCCTGGAGCTCACTTTGTAGCCCGTAAACCTTTGCATGACTTTCTCTTCCTGATAGCTAGAACAGTGTCCTCCTCGGAGAGAATCTAGCTAACATGAGATTTAACATTAGAGTATGTCCTTATGACAGCAATCTGCTATAAACTGTAGTAGGACACACTAGAAGTGGGAATTCGAGGGCAACCACTGTCAACTTTTCCTTTGTGTAAGAACCTTCTCGATAATGTACACAGAGAGCTTCTAGAAGCTTTCAAGTCATGATGATTGAAAGGGAAAAGTCCAAAGATGTAACTGTGCTGTTTTTACAAAATAGTGTCAGTATGTAATTAGGAATAATATCATAAATGTCGTCCAAAGATACAGGCAATGAATTCTTATGGTTTCAGTAAAAATGTTGTTTTTCATGAGTTAATAAATATAACTTATAGTTATACAATAGATATAACCCGTGGTTATATAATATAAACATCTCCATCCATACTCTAAAAAATTAACCCCCAAAACAAAAACTAAGGGCTTTTAAATGTGAACATGGCATTTCCTTCTCTGGCCATTAGATGTCGCTGCAGTAAACAGCACAGTCTAAGGGCTCTGCAGCCCCAGCTCTGTGATCTCCGACCAGTTACAAACCTCACTATCCCTGCTTGAAATCCACCTTCAGTTTGGAAGATAAGGGGCCTAGAGACATCAGGCAAAAACCTAAAGCTGTTGTTTTTCCTGCAAAGCACACAATCCAAATTCACCAAGGAGAGAGAGCTTGAAGAACCGCCTCCCCCCACTGACGCGGGCAGGTTTTGCCGGCAGAATTGATAAGGGACCTTTGCCAGGGGACTAGGCTACTGTGACTTGAATGCACTTAATGGTAACATTTGCATTCCACTGGCTTTCCCACTGCACTGCCCAACGCAAAGCTAATCAATGGCAGGTGTCTGGTTTAAAACCAACTGGATGGGGAATTTTTCTCAACTCCCTACCCAGACTAGCCACTTTGTCTGAATCACTTGTTCTCCTAATATGCTTTTATCCAGAAACACACACACACACACACACACACACACACACACACACACAA